CCCACATACATTTATTGAGATGAGCGAAAATCTGCTGACACTCCTACACTTTCGCTCGTCGTCCACTCTTAACAGAATATTCAAAATTTAGCCACCTTTAGCCGCCAACTATACACCCTGTATATATGTACATCTGTGCCAGCTTCTTAGCGCAACTATGTAAGTAGTCAGCAGTGGATAGCAGGTTCTGTTGCTATTGCTGCTAAGCCCTCAGACACTGGCACAATACGTACACTAGAGCTTATTCGTATTGTATATGTATGTATGTATGTGAGTTCTCATGCTTTTATATTATATAAACCAATATTTAAATATCCCTGATTTGTTTTTCAATTTTTGACTTCTTAGCTTCCATTACTTATAAAATATATGTAAATATTCTATGCAGAAATTAAATAATTTAAAGAATTTTATGCAAAAATCCGCTAACACCAATTTGAAAGGTTGAGAGTGATAGGACAATAAACGAAACCAGGATGGGTTGAGTGCACTGACGTACACCAGCATGAGTATGAGCAGAGTGCTGCACGGTGTGAACCATTTACACTTAGAATAAAAAAGGTTCTTTTTTCTTGAAGGTTTCAGCTAAATGTGCTAAAGACGTTGACCCCAGAGTGCTGCAGTGGTATTTCAAAGTCAAAATTCAACAGTCGTTGCTACTGCCATAAGAAGTAAGTTAATTTTCAGCAACCAAATTTTCCGTTATCACTGTAAGTCTGAAAACTGAAGGCAACAAATTTAAATTTTTAGGGCTAACTTATCCATTATTTAACTCCACGTTGATAAGTTTTACTCTTACTCGATTCTAAAGAATATGCGCCAAAATGTAGGCAACAGTTTTTATTGTACCCGTGTTTACTATAAAACCTTTATAGTTCGCCACATAAATACCTGCCCTGGAAGACTGTACAGTTTCTGGAGTGAACTTTCGAAGAATTTTTGCCTTTAATTTCAAATATTTCAAAATTAAGTTATTTCTTCAAGTGCATCCACACTATTTTTCTGTTCATTGTTGTAGGTATTTTTGTAATTGCTATATTCATTGTTGCTTCACCGTTGTCCATCCGGTTAACTTGTTATTTCAGCCACCACTTACAGCTGTTCAAAAACAATTTTCCAACTTAATTTGAATAAAATGCTATGGGAAAAGAGATAGCAAAATGAAGGTGGGGCAGAGGTACCGATGTGGGGTTATTGGTAAAACAATGGCTGACACAGGCGTGTGGACTAACCCATAGAGATTTCATTAAAAAATATTCAAAACTGCATAATATGTGGAAATTTTATAGAATTTGGTTATAAGGAAAAATGCATTCAATTAAGTCTCCCTGAAATATTTTGTGTAGAAAGTTTTGGAGAGCTGATTGAAAGTATGTTTGAGGTATTCATAGGCCGTTAACCAATTGGGTTATGCAAATAAAATCTCAGAAACCTTTTATTTGAAAACTCTCGCCTTAATAAAAATATTTTTACTCTTCAACATATTTGATCAGCATTAAAGCTCTTCCTGTTACTATTCTCCATTGATTTATTTTTATTCTGGCACTTTACTTCTTCTGACCTCCTCTGAAAGCTTCGTTGGCGCCACTGTCACGCGAATCTGTACACATACATACATGCTCCTTTTTTATTCTATAGTGCCATCAGCGCCGTTGCGTTTGCTCTTTGCCACTAATACGAGTTGACTTTAGTTGGCCGTTTAAAGCATGACTACACCAACTACTTACAAACGGGCACCGCCACTGATTGGATTGCTTGGTTCGCCCCAAACTGCTTGCAACGGTTTGCCACACACATACTCACAAGGGTTGGCGTTCCCTTCTGATACAACGAGTATTCGGTGCGCTTAAGTCTCCATTTTCCATTCACTTCGGCGAGTTGCAGTTGGCTGCTCGAGTCCTCACCTCGCCAGCATTACAGCTGCCATCGTCTTGTGAGCTCATAAATATTAAAATGAGAAATTTCACATTTTATTAATTTATTGTTCTGCGCGGCGAGTCGAGTCGCGTCGCCAAGCGGTGTTGGTTCTCACAGTGGCATAGGAGCGTGGGTGTCACCATTGGCGGTTCCGTTGAAAATTATGAACGCGAATTTTTCGCTTAAAAAATTTAGTACGTACAAAGGAGAGCAGCATTGATGAGGTGTTGCTAAGATTTGTGAAGCGAAGACTAAAGCGTTAAGGAGTGCGTGTTGCTAGTGTGTGGGAATAATAAAAACTGTATTTTTTTTCCTTTTTCTGCTTCTCTGATGCCGTTAGTGCATCGTTTGGGTTTTGACTGATGCTTTCATTGAACGGCCTAATATCCTTCAAAGGTTAGAGACCTCGAATCCTTTATTATTATCTCGGGCTCTCCATGTAAGCTGCGAATCATCTTATAGGATCTACTAAAACCAGAAGTAAAGGTTTGTTCCGCTCGTTTTCAAATCTAAGCAGGGTATGCACATTCTTTCCTTTGCGCTGTGCACAAGATCCTCACGAGAGCGGTCTTTTAGAACATCAACTTCACAGTTTCTGGCGCTGAAGCTAAGTTTTAACAGGATGCAGAAAAAATATTCTTTACTGAGCTTTTGGTTCGTTTGTAACTCAGGCATTTATTCCGATCTTTTTCTTGCTCGTGTCCATAAACGTACGAAAAGTTTTAATGAAAAGAGGTATTGTGTACTTAGAAATCTTCGAGGATTATCAAAGCTTTCTGAAAGTTTTGAATTTATTATTTTTAATTTTTCAAAGTTATTTCGACATTCGAAAAGCCTTAAAGCGTTTGTTGGCTTTTTAAACTTTTGACGGTAGCTGGAACTTAGAAATAATTTTTGCCATTTTGAAAGTTTTTAGAACTTTTAAAAGCTTTTTTCAAAGTATAAAAGCTTAAAAAGCTTTTGAGCTCTGTTTGAGCCACGCATGTTTTTCGAAATCTGACATTTCTATTACATTTCATAAACTGTTTTTCAGTTTTTCGAAAAAAAAATTTTTACTTTCATAAATAATTTTTCAAAATTTTGTACCAACGTTTAAGTTTTTACTAGGGGGGGCTTGCTTCCAACCGAGTGGGAGGCATTGAAAATTCATTTTGCCATAGTTCCAGCTATAAGCTTTAGCACTTAAATACAGACACGGGTAGCATCAACATAATTTCATGCAATTTACTTTAAAATACATACAAATATCTGTATATGCCTATCTACAATATGTATAATATGTACATATGTACATAAATACAAATCATTCCACACATAATTCCCCGCCTTAAGCCGCAAATCAAAATTTATAGCTTGTCATGTTGGAGCAATGTATGTATGAACGTGTATGTATGTATGTCGCCTCAGCGTTCAGCCTCAAAATGTGACATTTAAATGCGCATTATTTATATTACATGCATTTGCTAGCAACAACAGCAACAACAGCAACATGAACAATAACATGAGCAGTAGTAATGAGCAACAATAATAACAACAACAAAACCGAGTAACAGTGGTGCCTAGCGACAACTGCAATAGAGAAAAATCAGCAAAAACTTGACAAACGAATAGCAACAGCAACACATAACTCATTAGTTGCATGCAACTTGGGTGTGTGACAAACATATCCAAATTGATGCACAGCCTCCAGAAAAAGTTTAAGTAGAGTAAGAAGAAGAAAACGTGAAAACTTGTAGGGACACGCACAGTGCAGCAGCGTAAAGATGTTTACAAAGAAGCAAAGATTGCGTTTTTAAATACTGCCACACAGACACACGCACCCTTGCAACACCGTTGCATTGGCACAACTTCTGCATGACTGCATGATTTATGTTGCGCCAGCGTGCAACTAAATCATTGGAAAACGACTCTAAAGTAGGCTGATAGGCGACACGTCGTTGGCTGCCCCACCGTCTTTTGTAGAATTCTCTGTACTTGCAACACAAACGTGAATTTATTTATTTAATTTTTGTACGTTACAAATCATTTTTATTCTTCTTATTCCGTTCTTGTTCTTCTTGTTTTGCTGCTACGTCTTTTTCTGTGCTGTTTTTACTCTTTAACGATCGACACGCCTTGCAAATAACTCAACGCATTGTCGGCGCAAGTTTTGCCAAGCGCCTAAATGCCACATAAAAAGTGGCGGTGGAAGCAGTGAACTATTTTTCTTTCTTCTTTAATAGTTCTTTTATTTATTTTTTTTTTTTTACTTAGCATTGCAAACCGTGCATTTTGGTCCGTGTGGCTAATGTTGTGCACGTTGCAGTTGCCACAAATTGCTATGGATGTGTGGTAAACAAGTGGATGCAGTTGATATTTAGGTTAAGATTAGACTTGTTCTAAAGAAGCTGAAATGCGGTAAACTTGCCCGAATTTCCATGTTACCAAAACAAAAAGCTTCGTTGCGAATATCTTAATGAAATAAAGCTGCAAGCTCTATGGTTGAACGAAAAAGCTAAAGCTCAACATTAAAGAAAACAACTTTTTATAAAGCTTTTGAAAATTGCTGGCAAATAAATTCGTATCAAATAAAGTTAAAACTCTCTCATTTCGGGATCTTTTGTTATATTGAAAGTTTGCGGTACAAACTGAAAACTGTAACCTATAATACAAAAATTTATTTGCCCACCATGTTTTCCACACCCTAAAAAAGTATTAGCGGTTTTTTTTTATTATCAATTCGTTGTTTGCATCATTTAGAACGAGCGTAATGAGCTGTAGCGTCTTCATGAGTGAGTTTTGTGATATTTTCTATTTATTTTTCTCACGTACCTACCGGGGGTAGAGTGATTTGCTGCGCAAAAACAGAAAAAAGTCCTTACTTTATCAAAAACAGGCCCCAAGTAATACACAAACTAGTGAAAGGCAAGAACAGAGCTTGCTATGAAGCTTACTGCGCCCAAGCAACCCTAACTTTCAACGATTTTTTATACAAGAAACCACGACATTGGCGTCACCTATAGGAAATTACCTGGTACTTTTTTAATTTGGATGTACCTTTATTAATTTTAGGTATAAATGGATTTTTTAATAAATTACAAATACTACCAATCAGTCAATAAATTAGTTGGATTTTTTTTATAACTAATGCTCACAACCGATGCTTCATCGTGAAAAAAAGTATCGACAAAATTTTTGAAAGTACTTTTAAACAACTGGTTGGAGAAAATCAGGAAAGGTTGCGTTAGTGCACAAATCGGATGTGCAAATTCCGTAAAACATGCGCCATCATTCATGTAAAAGCCGTTAGTCGTATACCACAGACGTACACAATTTTCTTGTCCTTTATAGTTATCCGGTTGACCCACTGACCATCTAGAATAATTCATGGGTTGACCAGTACTGTGGTAAACGAACTCCCCTTCGGTAGCCAAGTCAGAGGCGTCAATCCAAAAATGACTATCGAAATACTTTTGTTGCACTAAATAATCGTTTATCGATTGCATTTCCGACTCCGATTCGATTACAGCCAAATCACTATTGTGTTGACGGCAAAAATGCGAGGCCTGGTACCAGTTCATCTGGAACACACATACATTCGAAGCATTCGAGTGAGGAAATACGAACTGAGTAATGGTGTAATGACAACTCGTACTTACCCTCGTATCAGCTTTTATCAAATAACATTTTTCGCCAAGTTTGAAAAACCCTTCAGCTGCCATGAAAGATAAATAAAATGAAAGAAAATAAAAGGAAAAGAAGTGAAGAAAAATATGGCGATTAAAACCAAAAGTTAAATTTAATTAATCTTAAATTTATTCAACTAAATAGAATAATTAAAAAAATTAAATATAATAAAGCAAAATAGAAAGAGATTAGAATGCAATAATATAACATAGGAATAAAAAATAATAAAAAATAAAAAAATAAAAATAAAATAAAATAACACAAAATAAAGTGAAATAAAAATTTAAATAAACAAAAAAGAAATCAATATATGAATAGAGTAAATTAAATAATTATAGCATTTAGCTAATTGTAATTGTTTTTTATTTACCACAATTAGAATCAGCATTGAGACCGTTAAAATTGGTCACTACAAATAATAAAATGCCAACGCGTGTTATAAATCCTTGCATTTTACGATTTTATAAGGAATCTTTTACAAGAGTTAAGTACTTCTCTGAGACGATGTTGACCGATTTATGAAACTCTTGATTGCAACTGCAATTTTTATTTATACAAAAATTTTTACCACATGCGAGTTCCGTAAGACCTTATCGCTATTACTCTGCGTTCATATGAAAGTGCCATGGCAGAGAATAAACTGAGTAGGAGATAAGGGAAATGAAGTTCTGGGAAACTTAATTTATTATATAATCTTTTTCCTCATATCGGTCCGATTTGTTAATGTCAAGCGAAAGCATTCGGCATAAATATCGATTGGAAGTTTCAAGACTTAAACCACAAACGCGCATACTGATAACAGATTGACCTTTAATAAAAGTAAATAATATTAGTCGTGAAACACAGATATATGTTGTTGTTGTTGTATAAGCAAAAATATTTTTGTGTTTGAGGTAATGCCATTGAGTTGACAAAAATCTAAAGTCTTAGACTGAGACTTTAATCACCTTCCAAAGGGTCGTAAATTATAGATCCTAATGCGAGTTTAAGCCTTACAAATTGAATTTTAAAAGGGTTACGTATTTAGCATTTATAATCTGACGTGCATTCCTCCTATAGAAATGGAAAAATTTTTCAACAAAGACATTCATGGCCGACATTAACATGCCTACACGAAACATTATTTATTTTAGTAATTCGTATCTTTTTCGACAGCTTTAAAAATTATATTTTGGAATATACACAGCTTTCTTCTCATAGAGCCTGAACTTGGGCAACACAAAACCATTTATCTATAATTTTATTATAATTATTCTCTTTCAAATAATTATATACACACTTTTTTGCTAAATTTACCGCAATCAATGCGAAAAATTCCTTAAAATACGCTAAACGTTTTGCGTTAATATTATTACTTTTTACAGGCATATATATGAAAATAAGATGTTTGCATGCATTTTGTAACTTAGCATATGAGAAAGTGCTGCGACTAAAAATAAAATTTCCAAAAAAAACTTTATTGGTTCAATGACGATAAGCTTCACAACGCCGCCACAGCTGATATCACATGAAGCACAAGTGACTACATACGCATGAAAACAATTTTACTCCACTTGATAATCAATGCCAAAATAGTCTGCACATTTGAAATAACTCCTTGCTTAGGTTTTTTCTAAGAGCGGATCTAGCCGGAAAAATTGAAATTCTAAGAATTCGTACGATTAACAAAATCAGACCAATTTGAGGGAAAAAGATTACATAAATATATTAAGTTTCCCAGAACCTCATTTCCCTTATCTCCTACTCAGTTTATTCTCTGCCATGGCACTTTCATATGAACGCAGAGTAATAGCGATAAGGTCTTACGGAACTCGCATGTGGTAAAAATTTTTGTATAAATAAAAAGTGCATTTGCAATCAAGAGTTTCATACATCGGTCAACATTGCCTCTGAGAAGTACTGAATTCTTTCAAAAGATTCCTTATAAAATCGTAGAATGGAAGGATTTATAACACGCGTTGGCATTTTATTATTTGTAGTGACCAATTTTAACGGTCTCAATGCTGATTCTAATTGTGGTAAATAAAAAACAATTACAATTAGCTAAATGCTATAATTATTTAATTTACTCTATTCATATATTGATTTCTTTTTTGTTTATTTAAATTTTTATTTCACTTTATTTTGTGTTATTTTATTTTATTTTTATTTTTTTATTTTTTATTATTTTTTATTCCTATGTTATATTATTGCTTTCTAATCTCTTTCTATTTTGCTTTATTATATTTAATTTTTTTAATTATTCTATTTAGTTGAATAAATTTAAGATTAATTAAATTTAACTTTTGGTTTTAATCGCCATATTTTTCTTCACTTCTTTTCCTTTTATTTTCTTTCATTTTATTTATCTTTCATGGCAGCTGAAGGGTTTTTCAAACTTGACGAAAAATATTATTTGATAAAAGCTGATACGAGGGTAAGTACGAGTTGTCATTACACCATTACTCAGTTCGTATTTCCTCACTCGAATGCTTCGAATGTATGTGTGTTCCAGATGAACTGGTACCAGGCCTCACATTTTTGCCGTCAACACAATAGTGATTTGGCTGTAATCGAATCGGAGTCGGAAATGCAATCGATAAACGATTAGTTAGCGCAACAAAAGTATTTCGATAGACATTTTTGGATTGACGCCACCGACTTGGCTACCGAAGGGGAGTTCGTTTACCACAGTACTGGTCAACCCATGAATTATTCGAGATGGTCAGTGGGTCAACCGGATAACTATAAAGGACAAGAAAATTGTGTTCGTCTGTGGTATACGACGAACGGCTTTTACATGAATGATGGCGCATGTTTTACGGAATTTGCATATCCGATTTGTGAAATGCCAAAACTTTTTTCAATTTTCTTCCACGATAAGTTCCGACAAATAGAGTGGCCCAAAATTATCTCAAGATTTGTGTTACATTGAATACGCCGCTTTTAGTCTTCAGATTGTGATTATTCAGTGAATAAAAAATAGGATAACAGTAATTTAATGCATTAAAATTTTGCGGTAAATTGTAGCACCCTTTATTGCTTAAAAAATAAATGTAGAATACTAAGCAGGACTAAATGATCATCTATGCAAATAAATGCATACGCTTGACGCCTAACATTTTTATTGCCATGGATATATTGTATTAAAAAACTGACTTTTGGTGTTGGTGATGATAAAAAAATTGAAACGATAAAAAGAAATGTTGTTGGTTCATTACCGAAATGATCATGCGGTAGCTGATAACACAAGAGAAAAGCCAACTCTCGAGTGTAACAACAAACCAGAGATATTACTAAAGACTTTCTCAGAGCTGAGGAGGTGAAAAAGCTCGTCGTTAGGTACAAAGAACCCGTAATGTGAAATCAGCGTTAAGTTTCGGAATGCTTTTATGTTAGACTAATTTTTGGTTTTTGGAGCTTTTAGGGCATTAAACTTACTATACATTGTTTTTATTGTTATTAATGTAATTTACTCACATATACATACAACTATTTGTTGCGAGTTTTTCTGTTTTTTTTTGTTTTTGTTTCTAACAACAAGAATAACAACAACAATAAATTACAGTTGGTTTTGCTGATAAATGCTAATGAACGAAAATGTCCACAGACACGCACACACACACATATGTACATACACATCTGTATATACATACGGCAAAGATTTGTTGTTGTAGCACCGGACTACACCGATGTTGTTGGCTGCTGTTGCGTCTGCAGGAAATTCAAGCATAGGTGAGTGGATATTTACACACACACACATACACATTAATATGTCAATGTATTTGTGTACGTGTAAGTGGTATTGCCTCGGCGCCTGCTTAACAGGATGTTTCAATGCAACTACTTGACTATTAATCATCTTCTAACAAAGACAAACATCAGCAACAACAACAACAACAACAACAACAACAACAACAACAACAGCAAAACATGTGCATACAATCTAGGGCCAAACAACAAACATTAACTACATTACATATATGTAAGTATGTGTAGAATACACAACCACAACTACATTGACACTTTAAACAAATGTGTTGGCCAAAGTTCTCTTGCAAATACACAGAAGACTACATATCACCAGAAAAGCTAATGCAACGCACTTCAATACTGAGTACCCAGTCGGGAGGAGCAGGAGATTAGTTCATAGTTTTAAGAAATGCTCTACCCCAGGAGCTTTCCTAACTCTTAACCCACGATAAGCAGATACTCATCAAAGACGTTTTGACCCATTGCAGCCCCCCAACCCCTCGCTTTCGACTTATGGACTGGGCTTCGAAGCCTAAATATAATTTTTTGGGTAGCTACAAGCAAGCCGCAGCAAACTAGTTGCTTTTTAACTACCCCACAAACTAAAAGTTGTGCAAACTTAGCAAACTAGTTGTATTGGAAATTTTCCAACACGTAGTGTCTGCTCTTTACTGTGTATGATTGTTAATGGAATTGTCAAGTAGCTATGCATTTGCTTGTCAGTCAGTATCTTGCAAGATGCAAATATCCATCAGCGCTTCAGTAGTTTACAACATTTAAACATATCCGTTTGCACTCGCTCGTCCCTCTGTTAGTATACCGCACCACACACGACTACTTCGCATAGGACAAGAGTACTCACAAACATTCACACACAGGCAGGGGTAGTATTTGATACACAAATGCATTGCCTTGTATCCAGTATTTGGAATATTCCCCTTGTGCCACATTAAATCAGCAAGCAGCTATTGATTCACACAGGCTGCAGACTCATGATAGCAGTGGCAAGTACTGCAAGCACATCATTCAAATTAACCTCACTCATTTGTCTTGGACGTCAAATGTATGGCCTTTGCATGGTAGCGGAGTTACTTGTGGCGGATGGTGGTGATCATTAGCAGTGAGCACTCTTTATTTTGATGGCTCAGTGTGCACTCTCTTAGTTCACAATGCGATATCATGAACTACGATTGAATCTGTTAAGAACTGAAGGAAATATAGGAGAAACTACTTAGGCATTTTTTCCATGAGTGGGTACTATTTGTTCTCGGAATGATCTTCAGCCTTGGGCAAGTTATTAGTTGATGCCAATTCTCTGGAGATGATTTGCAATAAAGCTCTTTACAAACTGTTCAGAAAGCCGATAGTTGGTCAATTATTATTCAGGTTTATTCCAATGTCGTATCGTAGCAAATTCCTTAAGAAAATTAGAAAGCTGATCGCAATTAATAGAAGGGTCAGACATGAGCTCGGCTACATTTGTAATCATAATAGACGTTTAAGGTGGAGAGGGATACCCCAAATCTAATGTTTTTAGTCGGACACGGGCCGAAGTTTCCTTCAATAAATTGATTGCTTCTTTAGCAGTATGGCACATAGCGCCGTTTTTGGTGGATTCAAGGGTCATCTAGATAAACATCCCCGGTTTCTTAGCATTCGGCTACATTGTTAAAGACGTATGAACCAGCGTTTTCTTCTACCCTTAGGTCGAAGAAAACAGTCATTTTAGGATATATCGGCATCTCAACAATAGTTTGAGC